TTCTCTCTCTCTCTCTCTCTCTCTCTCTCTCTCTCTCTCTCTCTCGCTTTCTCTCTCTCCATTCACCCTTCCATCGATCTGTCTGTCCCGTCTGCTATTATAAAAAACAACAACCCTAAAACAGACCAAGACAAATAACCGATCTCTATAAATAGTAGCCTATATTATATATAATATTATCGTTGGTACTTTGTCTTCGTCTGGTGCAGGCAGTACGTGAGCGAGCCACTGAACAGCATGTCCAACCTGTCGTCCCTGATTGCTCTACCACTCATCTTGTTGAACATGACCAACCAGACCTCCGCCATCGGGATAATGGGTGAGGCTGTGGGAAGGGAGGGAAGGAGGAGGGGGAGGGAGGATTGTTAGAGAGAGGATGGGAGGGAGGGAGGGGGGTTGGTGGTGAGAGGGAGGGGTGATTGGTGGTGAGAGGGAGGGATGATTGGTGGTGAGAGGGTGGGAGGGAGTGAGAATTGGTGGTGAGAGAGTGGGAGGGAGAGTGGTGGGAGGGAGAGAGGGTTGGTGATGAGAGGGTTGGATTGAGGTAGGGTTGGTAGAGAGAGGGTGGGAGGGAGGGAGGGTTAATGGTGAGAGGGAGGAACGGAGGGAGGGTGGTGGGAGGGAGAGAGGGTTGGTGATGTGAGGGTTGGATGGAGGGAGGGAGGAGGGAGGATTGGTGGTGAGAGGGTGGGAGGGTTGGTAGAGAGAGGGTGGGAAGGAGGGAGGGTTAATGGTGAGAGGGAGGATGGGAGGAAGGAGGGAGGAAGGGAGGATTGGTGGTGAGAGGGAGGGAGGGAGGGAGGGAGGGTTGGCGGGACTTAAATTCACAAAAAAGAAAGCAAGTTAACAGGCTTTCAGATGATACATGTACCAATAATCCCATAAGCTCAAAAATTGACGAGCGCTTGATTCCACAGCGTCACGATATATAAATATATATATATCCTGAGTAAGAACACGATGTTGGGTGACCAAAACGACCAAACGACAACAGTTACCGCGGTGCTGGTATTGATCAGTCAGGCAGACATAATCGATACATTAGGGAGTAGATACGTGGAAATGAGAATTACTGTTTTGGCTTGAGTAAAAGCCACCCTTGAGCATCTTGTAGTATCTGTATTATATCAACGAAAGAGACAACACACCTGCGTTCAAAGTTCGAACTTGATTCTCCTGCACTGTAGCCCTGAACACACCTGAAATAGAAAAGGGAAAAAATGTATAGGGCCCAATACAGACCGAAGCAAAATTACCATCTGTCTATCAAGGTCAGAGTAGTTTGAAAATTGAAACCGGAACTTGTAGACATTACGAAAGGCACTAAGCAAAAGGACGACCCACACTCTCTATGCTAACTAGCGTCCTCAAAATCTTATCAGTGAATAGTGAATATTATATAAAATTAAATTGTGTCCCAACGCGGTGGAGTCCCGCGCTCGTCAGTTTTTAGGCATGTAGGTTTATTGGTATTATCTGAAAGGTTATTTATTTGCCTAATAGTCAAAGAAAATAGCACCCGTCTATCTAGAATATATGACAAGATATTTCCGATTGAAAAGGGTGACATCGCCTGGTTTCATTGCATTGGTAAAAATTAGCGAGAAAATGGCCGCCAAAGATTGGTAACTCAAAAAGCTAAAGAGTTCTTGAAAACTGAAGAATGACATAATTTGTGCCTCTAATCAACCTTTTTCAGTAAAATTCACATGGAAGTGTGTTTTCATATGGTTATAAAAGGAGTTGAGCAACCC